AAAACTTTTTCAAAACCCAGCTCTCATGCCATTAGAAAGAGGATCATGAAAAACCTATAAAAAAATGGTTCATGAAATTTTAGTTTACTCATAAAGCTAAAATCCGCCTGCTCTAGCAAAAAATGCCCACTGTGGGCTAGTTTCACAAACATTTTGAAGCAAAACCCTGGTTACAAAAGTTGTTCAGAATCGAATTTCGGAGTCCCTAACGAGAGCTTTTTTTAAAATTATTTCTTTTTGCTTTTTAAATTGAAAAATACGAAATTTACGAAATACGAAGAGATTGTTTTACATCTTTAGAAAAAGCGAGTTTCACGAAAAAAAAACTTTTTCGCTCTTTTGGTCGATTTTTGAGCCAATTTTCCAGTATGGACTTTCCCGCTATTCCCATAGAGGCAAAAAAAGTTATTCTAGGAAATGATAGCTAACATATCCATCTAAAGGATCACCCGATCAAAACTTGAAAAACTGAAAGTCGACTTTCTTTTAAATGTCCGCCTCAGTGCCCACTGTGCTAGGATCAGGTCTGTTTGCAGGTCACTGCTGAAACTTTCCAGACGGCATAGATCGGATCCATTCGAAAAAAAGTTTCTACTCCGTGGACTGAGTAGTTGCAGTCCAGTCCGAGTCCATGGTCTTAAAACATTTTCAGTCTAATCTAGTTCATACGGTGTTCTATCACTTAAGTTAGTCCTTTGCACAAGATTATTTAAAAATTATCTTCTTTCCAATAAAATTTGACATGCTCACTTATTTCCTAACTGAATAAACTAAATAAATAATTATAAATTCATATTCTCCTGTGACACCTGTGACATGACTGTTTTACAGCCATTTGCAGCCATTCCAGCCTAATAATTCTTCTGCTATTCTGCATTGATAATTTTCGTTTCTCCTATCAAACTTGATCAAGCATTTAAGGAGCTAAAGAACGTTATTTTTTGTATATTAATACCACTTTGATCTTTTATCGTAGCCACTATGATTAAGTCGTTCTAATCACAGGCTGGCTTGAAGATATGATTGATTCCTGCAGTTCAGGGACGCCATCGCCTATCAATCGTTGAAAATGGTGAGGCATTGAATGAAAAATTATTGTGTAGAAATGCACAACGTTTTTTCGAATTATGAATTTGCCGATATTTCAAAAATATTAACAGTGTTATATATATCAACTTCTTCAGCGAAATCTTTGAAATTTTCAATGGTGTCCCGAGGAGTGCTTGTAAATGGTCTAGAGCGGCAAAATAGGACTACGCGCAAAGTTGCGAAGCTGAACATTTTAGCTGTTAGTTTATTGCACGATTGTATGTGCTGAAGTGCTGCCGTTATTACTGTATCACCACTAGACCAATGTTAGAGGAAACTGACTGCGCTAAATGCTCATTCACAAAAACAGTTAGTGACTACAAAAATCATGTTGACAATCTACGTGCAGAACCAATGCAAAAATTTTATGAGAATTGAAAACAAGAAACAACACATAATTATACAAATCCACATAATATTTTGACACAAAATTATATTGGTGCTTTCGATGAGGTTCGTGTAATATTATCAAGTGGCTCAAATTTAAACGAGATATTCATCGTTGCTGTCAACATGAGAACATCACTACAGTTCTAACCGACACAAGTCTTCATATCAGATAAACATAAAAACACAACTCGTAGTACATTTTTTCTACAAAAGGATCCTAACTCTCCAAAACCCATACAAACAAACAAATGTTTAAGAATTTATTATCTCAATTACCCACTGCCTTTGATCGATTCTTTGGTTTTCGAGAAGAGCTTTTATTAAAAATAGTGCATTACTTAAAGTTTAAGACACAAAGTTTTTTTAAAAGAACACTATACGAAAACGATCAACAATAAGTTTATTCCTTTTATAAAATCATCTAGTATTGAATTCACTTTTTACCACTGCCCGCTTGAAGCCATGCTTGTTGCCAATCTTTCCCTATAATATTTTAAAATAGTTCAATTTAGTCGGTGCAAAATTTATACAAGAGTTAAAAAATAATAGTGATGTCTTAACTATTTCTGAGTCAAACAGAAAGATGCCATGTAATATATGAACTACTTACATGTTGATAAATCTGGACACCATCGTGTTGCATGAAATGTTCGTTCGCAAACTTTTTCATATCTAAAAACAGTATACTTACGTAAAAAATATGTTCTATATATATAAAAACTTTTATCTGTTAAAATACTCACGCTTTCTTGGCTTCTTTCATCTTGTCTAATGGATCACTTGAGAATAATCGTTTTTCAAAATTACGACGTTCAAGAAATTCATTAGCTTCATCTTGATCTTGTAAAAATTGACTTATTGCACGTTTTTCAGCTAAAAATAAAAAGAAAGAATAAGAAAAAAACAAATTTTGTTTATATAAATTGTCTTACAATCGAGATCATCACCATCATCACCTTGTCCCGAGTCGTCTGAAGAATCATCAGAAGAATATCGTTTTTTTATTCGTCCACATTGGGCAATTGTTATTCCAAACACGAACAATGTCAAAATAATAAGTTTTGTATTCATGTTACGAAATTTGAAATCTGAAAACTAATTTTAAAACAATTTAAAGTGTGCTCAGCAGTACTTAGTTATATATTTTACGTATATCATTTCTTTAGCTGTCTGTTGAAATACAATTAAATATTTTTTTTTATGTACAACCGATCAAATCTCTTACCTGTGTACGTTTTGTTCGTATTTTAAAAAAACATTAATCTTTTATAAGATTATAAAAAAAACTTTCGAGATGTAATATTTTTATATCAGAATATTGGTACTCCCTCCATGATTTTTTTTTTTTTTGTTGATTGTAAAGATGAAAAAAAAAGATTTTCTATTGCAGCGTGTGTACAGGTATCGTCAATTGCTGTTATTCATATACGAAAAAGTTCCTGTTTTGATAGTAGAGACGAAAATAAGTTTAAAGTAACAAGAACCTTAAAGTAATAGTTACAACATAAACATTAGCCCTTTTCGTTATAATAATCCGGTAATAACTCTCTTATTTAGTTACTATGAAAGATATTGATCTGAAAAATATTTATTCATACGTGCGGATTAGGAACTATGAATTGATTGCTTTGCAAACAGAAATATACTGGTTATCGAAGGTGGCCTTGATCTTGGTAAGATATGTACACAACTGATTCATGATATCAAACATTGTTTCCTTTTTTTACAAGTAAAACCTTACAGTTCTTTTTAAAATAAATATAAAATAAGCGATAGAAAAAATATTGTTTTTTTCCTGTGATTAAGAATTCTAGAACAGAAATCATAATTGAGTGTTTGTCCTTTAAATTCGTGAATAATATGCAGATATATTGCTCTTTTTTTCTCTCTCATCTAGAATATCGCGATTGTACTGAATATAGATAGAATTTGAGGTTTCAATGGAGAAAATACTTGCAAAACTCGCGAGGGAGGTCCACCAACTTATAAATCGTTTTCCAGTCAAAACCTAATTGATTATAGGTAATCAACCATGCTGATTCCGAATATCATCATGAACGCTCCTGCTAGGTCTTCAAAGGTCGGTTTTCTTGAAAACCAGTTTTTTAGAAACTTTAAAAAATAACCAAAACCTTTTCTCAATGCTGCATGATTGTAGCCCGCACATTTCTCCCAGCTATACACGACCTTTCTTTGCAAAGTTATAGAATTTACAAGAAGCCCTAAATGTTTATTGTCAGCTCAAAGCTACAGAAATAAGAAATTAATGCAGGGCTTTTCTTGTAAATTCTATAACTTTGCAAAGAAAGGTCGTTTAGAGCTGGGGGACGTCTCATTTTAATCCGAAATGTGCGGGCTACAATCATGCAGCATTAAGAAAAGGTTTTGGTTATTTTTTAAAGTTTCTAAAAAACTGGTTTTCAAGAAAACCGATCTTTAAAGACCTAGCAGCAGCAGTCATGGTGATATTCGGAATCAGCATGGTTGATTACCTATAATCAATTAGGTTTTGACTGGAAAACGATTTGTAAGTTGGTGGACCTCCCTCGTCAGTCTTACTCATTTTTTGTTTAAAAGTCTGACAGTCATGCCAAAAATGTTAAACTTGTAATGCAATATTTTGATAATCATCTATTATCGAGTAAAAAAAAGCATTTCTTTATAATAAACAACGAACGTATAAGAAATGAACTTAGATGAATAATTGCATCGGTAATCTCCTGTAATTTATAGGAGAGACTTTTTGAATCGTTGACTCTAAAATAATGAAAAACCGCATGATATAAATATCATGCGGATAAAACTTTTACAATATTCTCATGGGAATTTAAAAATTCTACGTGCTATCGACTAAGCATTATCCATCGTTTTTGCTAATAAACAATGTGCGGATTATGGAAGTTTAACCTTGAATAGTTTTTGCAATCATCACAAAAGAATGAACTAAAACGACTCTTTTAATATTTCATACTATTTATAAAATCCTCATCGATTTTCTGACTGTTTAGAAAATGTTGACCTTCTACTTTATAGAAAATCCGCTCGATTTTCTATGAATTGATTTTTCTCATTTGTCAGAAAATCGATAAAGAATTTTTTAATTGAAAAATCGACGGTGATTTCTATGCACGATTCTGGAAATTCGACACTGATTTTCTAAATAGTTGGAAAATCGAATTCGATTTTCTAAAAGTCTAATCAGTCATTTTTATCTTGCTTCTTTCACATCTACCAAAGTCTTCATTGCAACAAGTAATCATGTAACAGATCTCTGCCCCTTTTAGTATTTAACATTGGAAATGTCAATAGTTCGCAAAGCTCGCTCAGTTTTTCCAAATCAGCACATTCTTCGAGAACTATTATTGTTGTAGGACACTCACAGATCACAAAGAGATACAGAAAAGGTTTTTAGGTTAGGCCTGATTACGACAAAGTCGAGTTCCATCGCAACTAAAGAGCGCAAAGTGATTCGCTCTTGCTAATATTCCTCATTTTTATTTCTGAATTTAGCAGCTTCCAAAAATGTAGTTTGTTCTATTAACTCAAAGACATGATCTAACAATTCACATTTATTTTCTTTATTTTTTAAATAAAATAACAGTCGTTCAACACGTGATCGATGTCGAATTTGTTCATTAATAAAAGATCCATATAGTCAGCCACCCAATAAGCTGAAATAATACACTCCACTCAACTTCAAAGTTCAATAGTTTTTAATAACGGTGAAAAATCTTCAGTCATTTTCACTTTGTAAGTCTCTGATTATCAGCATTCTTACTCAAATTGTTCTCCCTCATCACCTAGAAAATTCTAAGCAATTTTCTAGAAAGTAGAAAATAATCCGATTTTTCGATTTTCAAAAAGTCCATGTATAAAATGGCTGAAGATTTTCTAGATTCTAGAAAATCGAACTTCCAACAGTCTAGAAAATTGATCTCGATTTTCAAGCAAGTTGGAAGCTGAATTTTCTATAAATAATTCCCAACGATGTGGAAAATCGACCACATTCTTGGAAATTCGATTTTCTATAATCTGGATAATCCGTGAGGATTTCGTATATGGACTTTTTGAAAAATCGCCGAGCATTTTCTATAAATAATTTCCGACTTTACAGTGTACGTTAGCTCATTCTTACACATGTATATAGACCACATGACTTTTATTCAGGATTAGGCTTATATTGATCAATAGATTCGATGAAATTAATTTCAGATAATTGGAGGACACATACAATGTATAAGTGGGGAAAACTATTCACTTGAATGGCATTAAGTTATTCAATGGTTTTGAAAGATAAATAGTTCAAATACACTCTATCTCAGTCACATATTATCATTATCTTAAGCATTATGTTTCTTTTTCTTGTCTTTTTATTTTAAAAGCAAAAAATACTGACAAAGATCAATAATACTTGTTCGAAGATGTTGATAAATAGTTTATTTGCCCGCATATGACGGTTATCTACTACACTAATTATTTGTTGTATTTGTTTTCTTTACGTTCTTAGAATTTCTTCTTGTCATACACGCACAAAATGTTTTTCCAGATTGGATTAATGTTCTTCTGACTATGTAGTCAGAATCTACTTTCGTCTATTCAAAAAATAGCACTTCTATTGTCGAACGTCGTCTAAAATACTTAATCGAACAGTCTGTAGTTCCAAACAAAAGAGTTGTACTAATAAAACAGATAAATACAATCAGGCCTCGCAGCGGTCCTGATTTCCTGATTTTTTCGTGATTTTTTAAGTCGTCCTGATTCGTCCTCCTGATTTGGGCAAAAAATCCTGATTTTCCTGATTTTTGTTGCTTTTCGAAACTAGGTCATTTCCCTTGAAGATTCCAGTTTAGTCTAGGTAGAGGCGTTTCAGAAATTCCATCTTGAATCGATGATGACACTGGTTTTTCAATGACCGCGTTGCTTGTCTTGTTTGTAGAGTAGCTATTGTTCTTTATGA